GAGAGAGAGAGAGAGAGAGAGAGAGAGAGAGAGAGAGAGAGAGAGAGAGAAAGTGGAGAGACTATATGCCGGTAATATAAATATATTCATGGCCACCCTCTGAATATATTTATAGTGAAACAGCCTGGACTAGTTTTCTGCTAATTCCACCAAAAAGAAAAAAAAAACAGGTCAACGATCAGTACACATCAGTTACAGAGGCGCATGCTTGATCACAATTCGGACGATGTAGAGCGTAGGTGTAGCTGACAATACAGCTGCGAAATTAGAGTTTCGACTTATATAATTACACATATATGCGGTTCATACGCGGTTTTTGAAACGGCCTCGCGATCGGCTTCGAACCTACGGGAAAAGCTGTATTAGACCGAGAGAGAACTCGATCGACGTGCGTTTGATCGGTTGATTATCGAGATGCGTGACAGATGTGTGATCATGACGCGTTGCCTGTGCGTGTAAGGAGGGCAGGATTCACGCGGGGGATAGCAGTGGTCAAGAAGAGTGTGGATCGGTCGACGGAATTGGATTTCTGATTAGCACCCTCACGATAAGCGCCACGACAATTTATGCAGGAAGTACAATTTACGGTACGGTACAGCGAACAGTACCGACGACAATGATCGCACTCGAGAGAAACAAATAAGGGAAACTGAACAGTGCGGCTGATCAAACGATGACAATGAAAATGGCTGGGTCGAATGAGTCGTTCTAGTAGTCGTCGCGGGAAATTCGGGGTCGGAACGTCGGAACGAAGGCAAAGAAAGAAAAAAAAAAAAACGAAAGAAAATAAGAACGAGACGCGTGTTGTTACGGTAAACAGGATGTTATAGCGATGAGACATTCAAAGTCGCGGGAAATCAAAGAGCGAGATACGATCCAGAATAGGCATCACTGCAGTCGTATTGTGGACTTTTGGATGCCACGATGGAAATCATAATGGTCACAACTGAGTACCCGCTACTACACGTGCAGTCCGCTTAGGCGTGATCGCGAACAAGTCTCTGAACGCCCCGCGCGCTACGGCGAGGGTTGCGTTTTTCTCTTTGTCCCGTACACACACGGCGTGTCGAGGAAGCACGCACAACGGTACGACGGAGCACGCGTTTGCGTGTCTCGTTATCCTTTCTTCTTCTTTTCTTTTTTTTTCTTTATGACGGTCTCCTCCTTCGTTCTGTGTGTGCATACGCCGTTCTGGGCCGCGAGTCGCGACGGTCCGAATCGAAGAAAACTGTCCGTTTCGCATGTGGAATCAAATCGCGCGGTCTTGCGTTCGAATCGCGTGTATAGAATCTTTTCTTTGTTAACACGTTAGCTGCCACCCTGATTTCCATCAATTGTTTCGGTGCTCGGCTCAAGTTCGAGTCAGCAAAAGTGCTGCAAGTAAATTTGCAATGCACATATATTCACTTTAATTACACGTTTCCTAAAGTATAACCAGTGCGTTCTTCACTGACATGTTATACTCATAACTGATGGTTAGAAGTATAGCACTATAGCACCAATCAGTAAAATCTCGCTGAAGAAATTAGTTAATAATAGCGACTGTTCCCATTATTGATGCACTTTGCGAACATAGACAGTATCATTGTATGTAAGACATATGGAAACCGTTAATTCCATCGTCACAAACGCCCAAAAAGTTGTATTTGATATAAAGAATTCATAAATTTTGCCGTGAATGATTTTGTCCACTGGATAAAATTGAGAAATAAGACAACGCAGTAAAGTAGATTTATTCGTTTTCATTGTTTGAAAATCAGTGAATGTTTCCACTGATCATCAGTGGAATAATCAGTTCCTCTAACTAATACAGTCTTACTGATTCATTTTAAGAAAGTACATTTATATCTGTATATTTTTAATTTGTTATTTGATGACGTTTTACACGTAAATTAATAAGACAAGGAAATACTATAGCGCCATATTACAGGTGCCCAGTATGACGGTCAACGTGTCAACATTCTTCCTTACACGGGATCTTTCGTGAAAATTATCCGCAACGCGCAATATAATTTTATTCCGCATCGGTTATTCTCGCACGAATCTCGCTTGCGTTTCTCGACACGAATGAATGCCGGGACTAGAGCATCGTTCGATCTACAAAATCGTCCGATCACAAAGAACCGCCGGTGTCTTTTACACGCGACGATTCTCTCGGGCGTTTCCACGGCGCGAGCAGGGAATCGCAGCTATTCGCCGCAAACCGCGCGCGCCATTTGATTCGGACTGCTACGGGATTCGATTCGATTCGGCGGCCGGATCGCACACAGAGCGATTCTTTTCGTTCATGCCTAACGGATACGTGCACGCATGCACGCAGCGTGTCGTTGCGCGCGGGAGTGTGCGTAAATTACTTATCGATTATCGAAAGATCGTTCTCCAACCTCGTCCAAAATACCTCTGCTGCTGCGGTTTAGTCTGCCGGTTTAATGGCTACGAGATACATCTAGAAGCTCGTAGTGTTTATGTATGGCGACAAGTTAGATCAAAAGAGGTCTATCGCTCCTCGTTTCCTTAATCCCCCGTTTCAGAGGAATAGTGCTTGTCCTTTGTCAAAGTGAATCGAGCTGACGACGGGAGAGAGTGGCTTTCTCTCCGTACGTCTCTTCGGTTTTACGTTCGTGTATATATATATATATATATATATATATATATATATATATATATAT